TTCCCACATTCTCTCCGTCTACTTCAGAGGAAACCAACATTTCTTCGCAGTTTACACCTCAAAACCCACTACCCTCTGGGCTGCACAACCGCCCAAACACACAACAATGTCAGCGCAATCGATCTTCACCCACACACGCCTTGGACTCCTTACTCCAACCTCGTCCTACCCGTTACTGAAAGAAGCCAACTCACAGACACAGGTCTTCTCCCTCACCACTTTCCAATCACTGCGATCGTACTGATGGAGGCTCCACGTTTGCGCGACAGTCCCTGCTGGAACAAACACCACACACACACACACACAAACACCTAACCTCACCTCCTGACACACCACACGTACCTACTCTTCATCACTCCTTGTTTCACAGCTTTGTATTCTCCACTACGTAACCCCCCACGCTCCTTGAACATCCTCAACAACAAATCCATCAAAAGTAGCTCAGATGCCCTGTCAAACACCGTAAACAACCCCTCATTATCTACTGTGATCGTAGTACGAACGACCGCTAACTTTGCAACACCAACACATATAATGACGTGTGTTTTCTCCAGTAGACCTGTTTGTGTGCTGCTTCATTGCACGCGGGAGGAAGTATCAGCCTAGTGCCTAAGACGATGTTGCCCCCTGAGGACAAGCTCCTCTTCGGTACTCCGCGAAGAGCCATACTATGTAGAACCAGCACACCTCCCAACAAATCCGGCGCACCCCCACACACCACAAACGGTTCAGACCCAAGTAACCTCTGAGGGAGGAGGGCACCGAGCGCGGGCAGCCAGACCGACCGACAGAAGACGCACCGCAGACGCAGAGCGCAGCCGACAGCACCGAGACCGCGAAGAGAGAGAAATAGAGAAAGAGAGAGGTTTGTTTCTTTCGGGGTGCGACAGAAAAGCTTGAAACGCCGTCAATTCTGGATTTCTTCATCCGCTTCCTGTCGTCCAGGATGAGGTTTAAAAGGAACGGGTCCTATACGCTAAATAGGTAAGAGGCTGGTGTAACGTGAGCAGCGGTAACTTATTAATGTGTTATCCATATGGAGAGGTGGTGGAGGCAGAGAGGGGAGGGAGGGGAGGGAGGGGAGGACAGCACGTTTTGTTGTATGCTGAGCTCATAAATCAGTTCACTTTCTCGGTGTGTGTTTCCACGGAGGCTTGCAGTGCTGCTCTCACTGGCTTCCTAGTGTTTATGGTGATATTTCCTACCATATCTTATATATACCAAAGGATATGTGTTTAATGCAGTATTCTGCACACAAGCTGCAACTGCCACCGTTGGAGTCTAGTTCTTTTATTGTGACTGGACTTGAACATGCAGTTATTTATAATAGCAAATCTACAGTATATTGCCCCCCCCCCCCCCCCC